AACACCTGTGGAGGTTTTCAGATCTGAAGCAGCTTGATTTTCTCCTCTCTCTCTCAAAGATGAAAGCTTTAAGCGCTGTTTATCTGATGGGGCTGTTTTGGTGTCTATCAGGTCTTCCTGGTGGTTTTAGGAGTCAGATTTTCTCTGTAGCCTTTAACAACTTTAACCAGTGAACTCCAGTTTTGAACTTATTTTCCTTTGTCTTTCTTATATCTAATATATAAGTATAATTTAGGTTCACACAGCAGGTAAAAGTGGCCCAAATCTGATCTTTTTCTTCATGTGTGATGCAGATGTGTTGTCTGTGTGTCTGTGTGAACAGCAAAAACACACTGAATCTGATATTTTCGATTCTGATTTGAGACGCTTTCATATGTGGTACTGATCCGTATCCAGTCTGCAGCAATGCGACTCAGTCTGAACAGCCAGATCGGAATTCATGCGACTTTACGTCAATCCAACTCTACATTCGTCATAATTTTGTGCTGCTGAGACTCATAAACATTTAGGCTGATGTTTCTGCGTTTGAAGAGATTTTGAACGAAATGTCCGAACGCGGCCGCAGGAGAACGAGTCAAAGAACAGTTAAAAGCCTGAAAGCAGAGTTTAAAGAATTCGAGGACACAAACCAAAGAAGTGACCGCGCCCTTTTTATGGCGAGCTCGAACACATTCTGGGTGATGAACCCAACTGTCAGTCAGTGAAGCTTCATGATGGCTCCTGTAACGCTGGTGAAGATGAAACTGATCCTCTGGGATCGACTGGCGTTTTTTGGCAGTCATGATTGTTTACCTCTGGATGAGCCGCGTGAAGCAGCGTGAAGCTCTGTTCTTTTGCGCATGTGGGTCAGTTTAGGAGCTGGTCAGCTCAGAATGATGTTGCATTTAGGTCACATTTAAAAGACATTGTAAACAGCCAAACAGAAAAATTAGATTTTGTGAGAAAATCAGATTTAGGCCACTATTATCTGCTGTTTGAACGTAGCCTACTATATTTTATATCTAATCTCCTCAGAAATATCTCCTGAAAAATGAAGGGTGGTCTCTGATTTTTGTACAGTACTGTATATTAAGCTTTGCTATCCAAAGGCAGGTTACCATGGCACTTCCTGCTGTTGAACACTCTATACATATACGTTATGGCCAATGATCCTTTCTCTCATCAAGGAAGATGGGATCAATACCTCCATTTCAATGGACCATTTCTTATCCATTACTCAGTGTATTATTGAACATAGTGTTACTTATGGAGGGCAGTGATGGACACAGCACGAGGAAGAGGATGCAGATGCATCTACATGTTGAGCCGTAATGAACTCGGATGGAAGTTGGGGATTAATTGAACTGTATAAGTCGTGCTTGAGCAGAGAAGGTTGTAATTAAGCTTCAGAGGCTTGGGATGTGTTTTTATAATGACTGCCACAGCAGTGCCTTCACATGGCCCCCGGAGGGAAGGGGGCAAGGGGGGGAGATGGAAGAATGATGGCAGGAGAGAAAGAGAGAGAGCAAAAGAGCACAAGTGGAGCTTTTAGAAGACCTTGAGCATTCACAGACAACTTCCCTAGAGAAGACACACATACACCCACAACAAAATTCATTTTGACGAGACAGAAACTGATTAAATATTGCATTATTCATGGTGTTTGGCTCAGTTTGTGTGGCTTTAACTTCAAGCCACAGGATCATACAATAAGACACATTAAGACATCAGCTACAATGAATCTGACCACTATTAAAAAGCACTGCAGCTACAACACCTGTTATGCCTATTAATTATGATAAAAGAAGCAGATTTAGTCAAAGGTATCTCGGGACCCTGAACACAGTCTACGTCTTGTTTATTGCTTTTTATGCAAAATTCATCATTTATTCGTAGAAAAATTACTACAACCAGCAAAAACAGTAAGGTTTACTAACTGAAACTTAAAATGATCCTGTTAATTAACTGAAAACTTAAATAAGGCAAGTAATAGTACTCAAGTATCAGTGGGACAAACACTAGTGTCTCATTACATTACATAGATTAGTATTTAGTATCAGTATTAGTAATTTGTTGCTTATTCCTCGGTCGGATGGCAGATTAAGTCTTCTAGACATGGAGTGCATGAGTTTGCACAACTGATTATCTAAGCTAGTTGGATTTTCTCTCTTGGACGTCCAGGCAGGTTTTGACAACTTGAATTTTCTATTCAATTAATTCAACTCAGTGCTCGAGTCGTCTAATGCAATATCTGTTAATGAAATGCCGAGCTAAAGAAATGTTGAGTCAGGAGTGGTGGGTGGTGGCGCTACATGAGCAGTGTTAAGTAAAAGTTAGACGAAAAATTTTGATCTAAAGCACTGAAAGTTATAATGTGGTCAAAATTCTGTGCTTTTGAAAATGGTAAAGCACAATTTCCATAGTACATTAACAAAATAAATTATTCAAAAGAAATAAAATAAACAATGACAGAGGCATTCCAAGGCTACTTTTAAGCACTGTGTGACACCTGTTGGACGGTTGTTACTGTTAAGACTGTGACATTTGACCTATTCCAGGGGCCATATTAAAAAAACTCAACAAATCTGTGGGCTGGAGAAGACTTACAGTTTAATTTCATTTTTAAATATAAATTTGCTGTAACTCAAACTGCCGACTGTTTATTTAAAATATGGCAAAATGTTAGCACTTAGTAGACTTGAAATACTGAACTACTTTTAAAAAAAAGTTTTATATATCGCTGCTGTCAGAACAAAACCTCGTATCTCCATTTTTGCCGTATTTCAGTTTTTGACATAATTTAAAATTTCCTGTTGTCCTTTACGTTGTGTGTAAATTTCACGATGATTGGACCAAAATAAATGTCCCAAACTGACATGGAAAACAGTCTGGTTCCATTGACTTACATTAAAAATTAAGTACGGTTTTTCCTTCTCCTATAAAGTTACCATTTTGGAGTATCTGTATACATACACAAACAGATTACTGTCGTGCATGCTGGGGATTGTAGTGCAGCACACTGTAGAATAGGCCAACATAACTAGAAAATTGAAACAAGTTTGCCTAAACTGGCCTGTGGGCCTTGTGTTTGACACATAGGACCTATTCATGCTGTCATAATTATTACATAACCACCTGATCACAATTACTCAAGTTCAGTTACTTAGATTAGTCAAACTGTTCTTAGTTTTATGCACCTCATATGTCAGAACAAACAGAGTGTGAATTGGGTGCATTTTCATTTGTTGGATTGAGGCAAATTTATATAAATAAAAGAAAGCAGGACACATTTATTGAGACATGTCATGGGTTTTATGAAAACAACGTACATTGAAGTTTCTGACTGATGCTACAACAACTTTAGAGGGCGACAGTGAGTAATGTTTGTTTATTTAAGCTCGAGCCGCGTCTGTCATCAGCTACTAAGACTTGCCAGCTAAGAAGCAAGATAAATTTCCACCTTCAGGCTTGTAGATGCATACACTGGAAAAAAGACAATCAAACTGCCATTTGCAATTATTTATGGCAACTAATTGTCAGATTTAAGGATTATGATAGGCTTAGTAATAATGCTAATGTTAGCACTGAGGCAAATTCTGTTATTTTGTTCCAACCTGGCCAACTACAGCAACATAGTTCTGTAAAGCTTATCCACCCTCACAACAGCTACAGAAGAACACATCTGGAGGATGGATAGGTCAACTGCTGGCCTTTAAAACTGGAATTATGTGCTGGCTAGTGGTTAACTTTCAAGCAAGCCTATCGTGAGGCCGTCAGCTGACCTCAAATCTTTAGAAAACGCCAGCCACTGCAAACTTAATTAAAGCCAGGGAGAAACATTTCTGTCAGTCTGAATTTATATTTTCATATTTCTAATCTATGACTTCAGAAACCCCTGAATGGCTCTTACGGTGGCATAATGAAAACAATGACTTTCAACTCCTTCCCCCAGCCTTTAGTCGGCTTATTTCACTTTTTAAATGATTCCATGCCTTCAATCTTCTCTCGCCCATTCACCTCTCAGACTGAGGCCCAACACTCGCCATTGTGACAGGCTAAATGAAACAGGGAAATCTCATCTCCCTTTTAATGCTGCAAGGCACTCAACCATCCAAATATTTTTCTCTCCTTTTCACTTTTGAAACGCCTAAGGGGAAGAAAAAGAGTGAGGAGACTATTCGAAGCTCATTTGCTTTCTTATCTAATGTTAATCGCCACATTTGGCTTGCTCCGTTTGGGTGTCCCAGGTCGGGCGTGATTGGCACCCGCTATCAAACAAAATCACAGCCGCCGTGCAAAAGACTGGCCGAAATATTCCCGCGCTAAATAAGAAAATCAAATCTGCCTTAAGTCCCTTTATACGGAAAAAATAAAACAGAATAAAGCGAATCATTCTGTAACAGGAGCACTGGAAACCTGCTTGAGAATTCTTCTGGGAGTGGGGGAAGAAAGGGAATCAAAACTTTTGCTTAAAAAAAAGAGGCTTATTTACTGAGAAGTGGCTGTCTTTCACACCTCTCTCTCTTCCTCTCTCCCTTCTTTTCTCAACACCTCTCTCACTCTCCATCATTTTGCACAGTCTGTGTCTCAGTGGAATTGGGTGTGGAAGGAGGAGAAAAGAAAAAAAAAAAACACAAGCAGGCACACACACTGCTGTCAAGCACCGCTGATTGAAACTGCAAGGTCATTCTGACGAGAGAGAGTAAGAGGGAGTGAGAGAAAAAGAGAGAGAGAGAGAGAGAGAGAGAGAGAAGAAGAACAGCATGGAGAGAAAATCAAAAGACTGAGGAGCAGAGACACTCTCTGGGGTTTCGGTCTCACTCCAGCAGAGAGAGAGTGCGCGTGTTTGTGTCTCGGAAAGAACAGGAACAAAAGCAGGAACAATAAGGAGCCTGCAGTAACAGGTAGACGACAATAAAAGGAGGCCGCCTTTTCACCTTGACTTCAAGACCCCTCCTCTCTGTTACCACTTTGCTCCCTCCTACCTCTCCCACCTGTTCTCCACCTCCTCCCTGACTCACCTTGCAGCTCTCCGCTCTTGCTGTAGAGTTCCCGCCGCTGCTCTCGCAGGTAGGCGCTCATGCTTATGGCGTGGGACGAAGACTCAAACCTGCAAGACGAGATTCAGTCATTCATTCACATCGTGCACCAGCTGACCTAATAACCTAATCTACAACTTACACAGGTGAAAGGTTTTGACACCCCGGGTCAAAGTCCAAGCTTTGCTGTTGATTTTCTAAGTGAAAATGAGTTCACACATCCTCTACAGAGAACACACTTCTGCACGATTACTGTTTATTAACTGAATATAACAAAAAAAAAATCATAAAACGTCGCCTGTGAAAAGTTATGGCACATTTAATGTTTACCGCTTTATTTCTTTAAATAGAAAATGAACAAAACGTGTGATGACTGGGGGTGTTAGGACTATATACAGTCAAATGGTTGAGTGTCATCATTCAAACAATGTTCTTTAAACTGTGGAAACATGTCAATCATGTAATTACTTTGCTCCTGTTCATTTTGCTGTTACCTGCTGCAATAGATGAACTGCCCTCTGGGATTACTAAAGTAAGTAAGTCAGTAAGTCAGTAAGTAAGTAAGTCAATAAGTAAGTCAGTGAGTGAGTGAGTCAGTCAGTGAGTCTGTCTCGTCTGTCTCTTTTATGAGATGTGCTCCATGTAAGCACACAGTCATTACATAAGTGTTCAAACAGCACATTTTTCACTAGAAATGGAAATCTTGAAAATCTGAGTGAAGACCAAGTCTCACAAAGCCAGACGTGATCTCATAACCTCCTCAGTCCTGAGACTGGACACTTTAAAAATGAACTATTTTTTGTATCAAAATTTTCTCCGCTGCATACTAAATAACAATGTACAGCATACTGGACGTTTGGATTTAGGTGCATGAAATGTGAGAATTTTTGTAAAATGAACATATTTCTTATAACCAACATAAGACACAAATCAAGCACTGAACTTTTCCTGTGTTTACTGTGTGAACAGTTGCATAAAAAAAATGGAACTACCGGATTTCTGCATGAATGGCTCCTAAAATAATACATTTTTATAGTAATAAAAATAAACAAAGCGCATTTTAACACAAAGCATATTCACTGATTTACATTACTATATCTAAAATGAGCAAATGGTTGAAACTATCAAGATCACTGAAGAAAAAAAGTCAGAAAACATTACATAAGCTATATTACATAGATGTACATGTAATATTATATATAATACACATATTACATATATTTTATATGCCAGACAGAATTAACATTTCTGTGTTCCTTTTTTTTTCCAAAACTTTAGTGCCCTAATTTCAATATCCAATATACTGGACAGTGAAATCCTCCGAAATCACAATACATATAAACAACTTTATCCCTGAATTGATACATCGTCATCTTCTTTCACTCTTGACTACACATTAGACCATACTTTTAACAAAATAAACAAAAATCTTGAATGATTGCATTTTGTAATGCAGAGGTCTATTATACTAGTCAAAGCACAGTTTACTCCACCGAGTCCAAATGTCCAGGTTACAGGACATTAAACGTTATCTCAAAATGTGCGTAAGCAGAAACAAATACCTACTATTTCCTCTTTTACCTTTCACTAGAAAAAAAAAAAAATCTCTAATAAATACAGGATAATTTAGAAACAATTTCATTTGGCCTTGGGGGCAGTGAGTGTCTATCTTGCCAGCTGCCATGTTTGCTTTTGTTTATAACAAGATAAAAGAAAAACTGAATTCTGTAGAAACACCTAAAAGCTGGGGATGGTGATGTACCTGCTTCTATGGAGCTAGAAAACCTGGGGAAAAAATGCCCAGTATACTGGACGTTTGGAATGAGAAGGACAATAAGAACACACGTCTGGAGAGAAGTTACTAAAATGTGGTGGACAATGATGTAACAGTGGTGTAAATATCTCACAAAAAAAAAACAAAAAAAAATCAAATACAAAGGACTGGAACTAGATTAGATTTAATATACGTGATACCTGATGCATTAAACTAAGTCTGGGTCGGCTCTAATCCCAATCCTTTGGATCGGGACATCTCTATCTAGCAAATTCAACCCATGCAGGGCTTTATACCTCCTCAGAAGAATTAAATGTACTGAAAATACAAACCCACCATTGAGAAGCTCTGTAGCATGTAATGCACTAACCCATTTCTGCTAGTTACCAGTGAAGCCACTTCTGAATAACTGAGAGGTCATCACTAAAGCAAGAGAACTCTTATCTAATTTGTAACTGGAACTGATTCAATCTGTTTGTATTAGTCAATTCATTATTTTGTACATGTGTCATCCCACTGCAACATTCTTGGTTCTCTCTGTTGGCAGCTTTGCATGTAGGGGCAGATTAGCAGGACTTACTTGAAGAGAGACTGTTTGGGCCGAAGTGGTTTCTTCTTGGCGAAAAAGGCCCCAAAGTCACCTCCGGTGCTGGCATAAGACAGCTGAGCAGAGGGTTCGGCAGCACTGCGAGTGTTCTTCACATCCAGGTAGTCCATCAGCAACACCTGTTGGAGCAGATGAGTAGGCATATAAGTTTAACATGAAGACAACGAACCAAAACACCTTAAAGAGAACACGTCTACGCTTGTAAAGTGAACAGAACTTGCTAAAATCAACCACAGTATCGCCTTTTGAAGTTTGGTAGGTCATGGTTCGTTGGTCTGTTAGACCAAAACATGAATACATCACATTGAGTACTTTTAATCCGTCTAAATCTGCAACTGAATTAGCCTAAAAACAAATGATCTTTGTGACCCGGATCAGTCAAACTTAACAAATACATCTCCCCAGCTGTCTCCAAAAGCCATTGCCACTTTCTCCAGTCCAAAACCCATTAACCGTGATTAAAACAGCAGACCCCAGTCCATAAATATCCCATTCAACCACAGCTATAACCATTAAAGGGGGGGTCGACAGACGGAGTAGGAGGGGGAAACAAAGTTGAGCCTAACTTTTCAACAAATTAGCTCCCCAATTTCCAAGCGCTCCATAATTCAGCGCGCCAACTTTATGTGGTCTATTTGCGACCTGGTGCACGAAACAAGCCCAAGCGCAGGGAAAAGAATGGCACGACAGATGGAAATACATCTGACTATTAATGGCGTAATTAAACCTGGAGAAGGGGGTCTCATCCACAGCCATCAACCATCCCTCGGCCCAGAGACAGCCCTATTCGGGCCGGTCCGAACCCGCCAATTACAGTGGTGTCAGTGTATTAATTACTAATGACCATCTGATTCACTGACAGAGCGAGCTGAGAACATAGGCCCCCTGACTTAATTAAATGCCAGCAGTTGCCTGATGAAGGGGTTCCAGCCTACTTACATTACATTAGCGGTGCAAGACTGGATTTTGGAGGAAATTAACCATGGGGTGACCAAAGCAGAAAGAAAGACAGAAAGACCAGGACGAGTATTACTACTGAAAGACAAGAACAGAGAGAGGAAAAGGAGGAAAAACAGGCGGAGAGGGAGCACGGAGGACAGAGAGAGAGAGAGAAAAGAGGAGAGAGTCAATCAAAAGGATGCATCGCAAAGCAACAAAGTAAACTTCGCTGTGAAGAAGGAACAAAAATCAATGGCGTTATTTCCCTGACAGACCAAACAAGTCTTAAACAAATCAACATAGAAGTGAGTCCTTGAACTGATGCAAAGTTAAGACTTTGTTTCCTCCGGGCATTTCCATTAGCCAATAACTCTCTGACTCACTAAAACTCCAGCCTGAACTTTGAGAATAGTGTAGAGTATTGACCCAACAGCCCTTCATTAAAAAGACTCCAGGTATTCAAAATAGTATCCGTGGGCCATCATTAAAGCGACGCCTGCTTTGTGTATGAAAAGAGGGAGACTATTTCAGAGAGAGGATCCACTTAATCTTCATAAAAAGTCAGAGGACATGCCAAATATCAGCATTCTAATTACAGTTTGATAGAATACCCCTATTATATTTACCAGAGGCCTCGTCCACCCAGTCATATAAATGTCATAAGTATATATAGATCTATGTGAAAAACAGAGTTGCAATCCAATCTTACAAAAAGCATAATGAGTGAGAGGACAATGAAGTGGTAAGAATAGCCAAGAATAACCTTCACCATTTCAATGTTTTTTTAGACACGGCTCCTGTAAAGACGTAATAGTCTCACAAATCTGCTTTTGTATCAGGAGCAAGCACCATTAGCTATGATCAAATCTAGGGAAGGTGTGGACTATGGCATCTTTGGCCCAAAAAGGGAGAGTGAGGAGAGGTAAGAGAGGGACTGTGATTGTTTTATGGACGCAGAATTCAAATTCAGAATTGGCTGGATGGGTTGACTGTGGGTTTCTGACTGGTCAGTTCCACTATTCTTCCAGCTGTAATGTCTGTAAAAGTACTTAAAAATACTTAAATACTTTCCTGTATTTTTTTTCTTTCATTTTTTTATTTGAAGGTCTTCTTGATTTCTTTTTAAAGTGAAGGTGAAAGATATATTTATCTTGAGTAATTAATACATATATATACATACATATCATGTGAGTTTGATCCGATACAGTCATCCGTGGCCGAAAGCACAGCTGACCTTACTCTCTCTGGGTGGGCAGCGTGCCCCCCCATCCCTTGCTCCACTGGCCTTGGAGGTAGCCTGTGCTTGCTTTCACAGTATAGTGTGTATGAACTAATGTGTAGAATTGGATACGTCTAAATTGAGGAGAAAATTGGGAGAAAAAAATGCTGTCCCACATTTTCATGTCAGTACCGAAACACAGATTTTAAGTCTGTGGGCGGAGCCTAATTTTAGCCACACCCCTGCATTTTAGAGCAGGAAGTGAGACCGCATCCCCGTCCCTCATGGCCGCACTGTTTTGAAATAAATGTGTCCTAAAGTCTGAAAATCAGTTTGGAACCTTAATAATAGTCACTACCGAAACACTTACTTCTGTAATTAAGTAAACTTTTGTGTTTTAATAAAAAATGATGATTTTGTGTGTGTACAACTGTTCAAAGCTATGTTTGCTAGTAATGTAATGATTAGCATTTTTGAGATCTGCTCAAAATCCTGCCTCAAGACACTCCAGCGCATCGCAAGAGCAGCTGAGCAGATCGTTGGCACCCCCCTCCCCTCCCTCCAAGAGATATACAGCTCCTGTCTCACCCGGAAAGCCCTCTGCATGGCAGGTGATCCCACTCACCCACTATACAGCTTCTTCAGCCTGCTGCCATCAGGGAGGAGACTGCGGAGTCTCCGGGCCAGGACCAGCAGACTGGGGGACAGCTTCTTCCACCAGGCTCTCAGGATGTTCAACTCTCTCCCTACTTTCCCCCCCCTCCCCATCTTCTGCCCCCCCCCCACACACAAAGTTTGGACCCAAACACAGGTCCCTGACCCCCACTCCCCAATACTGAACCCTGACATTCTCAGGGACTGTTAGGCACCCATCACTTTAACAGCTCCATAAGCTCATTCTAATTGCACTACTGCTTATAATTGCACTATTTATACCCACAGACCTTAACCTGTATGTGCCTTATGTCACTTTAGTGTTAATTTCAGGACCTTCTTATATTTATATTATTATTTTTTTTTATTATTATTCTATTTTTCTACAATTAGTGTTCATTTTTACAATCAGCGTTTAGTGTTTTTTTAGTGTCTATTTAAATTCACACATTTCATGTTTACTGTCTATTTAATGTTATCGCTACACCATGGGGTCTGAGAGTAACGCAATTTCAATACTCTGTATGTCCTTATTGTTATTATTACTTGAACCAGTTCAGCAGAATGAGCCATATATATATATTTGGCCATACCGCCCACTGCTAACTGTATAAGGGTATCTGTGAGAGCAAGGAGTTTGTTTTACTGTTTGTACCACAGTGTGATCTTGTTAGTATTAGGTCTCACAGATGCAGGTGCTTTGGCCTAACACATTCCTTGCTCTTGTTTGGTCAGACAGACATGGCAGCGGAATAGAGCAGTGGACCAGCAGAGTTGAAGAAGCAAATAACAACAAAAACAAAGATCTTTTACGTTTCAATGGTGCTAATAAGTCTCTGTGCAAAGCCAATGTATCAATGTATAACCATCACCATTACTGACATCACCACGGTTTTAAATGTACTGGGAGGAGTCAGCAATGACACGGCTACTTTGTTTCTCTTATGTGGTTTCAGGTAAAAGTCAGTGAAGCCTGCTCCACTGACTTACTGGTGATTCACTATAAAGGTCCATTAGTTAGGACATCACCTCTGATCATTTAAGAAAACCTCCATTAGAAGAGCCCATAAACAGCCCTTCAGCTGAAAGGCAAATGACCAGTCTGGCCATGAGGATAGTGACTGGTACCTTTTGAATCCCCATACCCTTCATTTTGTCAAGATTGAAGGTTTTAGAAGTGGCTTATTTTAACACAAGGAAAATCGATATTCATGGCCTCTTCCAAGAAAAGAGCAGCGGCAAGCAGGGCAGAGGAAGAAGAGTCTGAGAGAAACAGCAAATGGTTTTTCACACCAGATAATAAACAGAGAGTTCAGTGGCTGGTTTTGTGATGTGTGATGAACAATGTGCATGCGCATGGGTGTGTGCACGCGGATGTGTAGAGGAGTCCTCCTCTCTACATCTGCTTATCACTTAGCACAGTTTGACAGCCTCCTAACAGTTACAAAAACAAGTAGCAAAGTCTACCGAAGCATCAGGAGCGGCTGTAGGCACAGACAGCAAGGCGAAGGTTAATCAAAGCACACCTTAAAACGCTCCAGACCCTTGTCTTCAAGGAGGCGTGCTTAACTTAATGAGTGCAGAAAAGCAGCTCTCTTCCTGTCTATTAGTCAACAAATCAGGCTAATTAAAGAAGTGCAGTGGCAATGAAAGGGGTTCAGGTGGGCACCTGCGCTCTTAACTTCAAGCGCTAACAGAGTGCATTAAGAAATTAAAGAAATAAACAAGGCTTCCTTCTGCTCCACCCAATGCCAGATTAAAAAGGGGAGGGAGCTTTCTTCTCTTTTCTCCTTGAGACTTTGACGCTTTCCTGAAATGGCTTCTGAAAAGTGTAGTTCACTTCTCTATCACTGGGAACTTGGTGGGCCCACATTTGGAAAGACTCTGCACTCAAAAATGTGTTTTTTAATGGTTATTGGTCTATTATGATTAAATCACTGCTGCCAGAAGAAAACCTTGTATCTCCATCTCCAAACCTCGTATCTCCATCAGTTTTCAGTTTTTGACATAATTTGAAAATGCATGTTGCCCTTTACATTGTGTGTAAATTTCATGAGGAATGGACCAAAAGAAACGACCCAAAATGACTTGGAAAAAAGTCTGGTTCCACTGACTTACATTAAAAGTAAAGTAGGTTTTTTCCTTCTCCTGTAAAGTTACCATTTTGGAGATACAAGGTTTTCTTCCGACAACAGCAAAATAGACTGTTTCTAGTCAAGTCAAGTCAAATTTATTTGTATAGCGCTTTTTACAACTGATGTTGTCACAAAGCAGCTTCACAGAAATCCATTTAGGACAAAGTTTTAA